CCCCCCCCCCCCCGACCATCCATCCAAATTGATCCAATAAAAAAAAGCACCCCTACGAAGCAGTGGTCTGAACCCACAGCTTGCCCAGAACATTGAACCTCCATGCGACACCAGAACCCCTGCTGCCTACAGCACCTCGTACACCTTTACGCCATGCGACACCACAGGCATCCGAACCACAGTAGCCTACAATACCAGCTACACTGCCGATTCAGCCAGATGCCTTGGCACCTGCAACCCCGTCGCAAACTAGTGCCATGCTCATTCATTCTTGCAACACTTGCCAAAGTAAAGCTGCATCAAGTTGGAGAAAGCGCAGTGCTACATCTTCTCAAGCCGATCGCTTGCTTCGCTAAAGGTGCAAAGCCACATCACCCGTTTCTTCTCTACGAATAGCCATCCAGCAGCCTCAGTGCAATGCATTGGGATGCAACCCGCCAAGCCACTAGTGCCATACTCATTCAGTCTTGCAACACTTTGCTGAAGTGAAGCTGCATTAAGTTGGAGAGAGCTGCGCTGTATCTTCTCATGCTCATCCCTTGCTTGGCTTATAGGTGCAAAGCCACCAACATTGGTCCTGGCCGACGACAAACTAGTACTCACCTAGGAAGATTGACCCTGCAGCTAGAAGACAGTGCAGAAAGACAAGCGGCATAACCTGGGGAAGGCACTGTTCAAGGGGAGGAAGAGTAGCATGGGCCATGGCGCTTTGGTGGTGCACACAGGCGATGATATCCTGTTCTCTATGAGTGTTCTGAGCCCATCGTAGATGGAGGTTCGTGTGTGGGCATGTTAGGGGTTTATTGCAATAGCTCTCGAAACTACGAACATAAGAATGGCCCTGATAAAGTAAAGCTCAGTAGGTTGAGCATGCAAGTGGTATTCAGGAGGTCATGGGTTCAATCCCCCACAGCTCCCTGCGGCAGGCTTGGTGTTCACCAGCTGAGATAGTTGGCTTGCCCCCTCTGGATGGTCTTGGTAGGGGCTGGGGTCCTCCTTTGGCTCTCGCCCCTGCCATCCTTCGCTAGGGGTTAAAAAGCTTATTAGGTGCTACTCCCTGCATAGAGTAATTTAGAGACCATGGCGGCTTAGTCGTACACAGAGCTAGGTAGTACGACGTATATTTGTGAGAAGAACATAGCGTAGTTCAAAAAAAAAAAAAAAAAAAAAAAAGGATTCCCAACTGGAAAGGCGGTACTCAAGGGCAGCCCTTTGGCAACAATGCCCACAACTCATGTGAAAAGAGCCATGCAGGGAGTGCGCGTCCATACGCAAACAGTAAATCAACCACCAGACACCTGCGGCTCGACACCGTAGAGGTTCTGTGACCATGGGCTCATCAGGAAAGAACTTCCCAACGTTATCCCATAGGACACCCTAGTTTTTCCCTAAACCTTTCTTGCATAAACAGTTCTGCATTACGATCATGAAAGATTTGAGCCTGCTGTGCATTCAAAAGAACAATTTGGTAGAATCATTGTCGTTTCGAGGAGGCATGCAACCTTTGCGAAGCGATTAGTATCAAACCTGACAACAAGAAGAACAGTCTTGATGAAGATGCACTCGAGCAGAAATAAGTGAACAGGACAAGCCTTTGGCCTCGATGAGAACGGAGGCATCCAGTGATTAAGCATACATAAAGCAGTTGGGGAAAGGAGGCATCCAGTGCTTAAACCACCAGTTCACACAAGCCTAAGCTGACAGAGCTACCTTCCAAGGGCTCACCCGCCTGCAACTGCACCTGTTCAAAGCGGCCTGCTGCTTTTGCTACCGTCCCAGGCCCACATTGAAATGCTCTTACCCCATATATACTATATAGGCAAGATCAGTACTTAGATTTGGGTGAACTGGTGGGTTTAAGCATACGTACAACGCTCTACGACTTACGGTAAAGGAGGCATTCAGTGACTACGCATACATACAACAGTGTGATTCTCCTACGCATACATACAACAGTGTGATTCTCCTCAGAAAGACATGTCAAGACCACACAGCATTAATCAATACCTTCTTGCTCTTCCTTCGACTCTCCCCTCTGCAGTGCCAGCATCCAGCCTCTCCATCAGGCTAGCTCGCAAGCTCCCTCGACCACCTCCTCTGCCCCCAGTTCCAGCTGTGCCTACCCTGAGACCCGACAATCCTACCGCCGACCTCTCTGCTCCACCAATGCCGCCCCTTCCCACACCACCCCACGTAGCACACCATCCGCTGCTTCCACCTCTGCGCCTCATAGATGCACTCATCAACTTTAAAGCCTCTTCTGGCCGCCCTTCAAAACCTTCAGGCAGCTTATCCCACCCTGTTGACTTAATCCTTGCACTATCAGGGCCCTTTGTAGAACTTTCCCCGCCCTCTCCGGAGGCAGTTGCGGCAGTACTCTCACGGCAAATCTCTCTATCACGGGTTACCTCGTCGTTCCTCGTCTCAGCAAGAGACACAGTGCTCTCATCACACACCTGGCTCCCATGCTCTGCGCTCCCATCACTGTCATCCAAGCTCCAAGACTTTCCCTTCGTTGGGTTCAACGCCACTCTGTCCCGACCAGCTTTGATCTCCTCTGCGTTTGCAGCATGCCAATCTTCTCGTCCCATACTTCCCTCCCTCTTCCTCGTCTTCACTTCTGCGCTTTCCCCATTTCTTATTCCATTGCCCCTGTCATTCTTCATCTCCACACATAACTCCCACTGGCACTCCTTAACGCTCCCACCTCCTTTACCATTGGTCTCCACACTCCCCGCGTCTCGGCCAACCATGATATCACTTCCATCGCCAAGGGTACAGTCTGCGCCAAGTCTCCTCTTTTCCGACCTGCCCAGCTTGACAGCCTCACTCCCACATCCCTCTTCAATTGCATTGACGCAGTTGATCCCTCCACCCTGAGCAACAAGTTCGTTCCCCTTCTCCCCGCCTGTCTCCATGGCGGCGTTGGTCACATCCTCCACCTTCTCTATAGTATCTACATAATCATCCGAAACAAGCACATCCATCACCTCTTCTTCCTCAAGGAGCTCGTGGCCGTCTTCTTCAGCATCACCAACTACAAAATCTTCCGAGGTTCCACCCGAATCTCTTTCCCCCTCCATGATTTGGATCATCTCTCGATCCCCCATATCATCATCGAGCTCCAGGGAATGTATGTCGTGGGGATCCGCCCTCTGACATAGCAGGAATGCTTTGCCCGCACCATCATCCATGACCTCCATCACATTGGCACCGGACTCCCCCGCCTTCTCCTCAGCTGCTCCTCCTGCCCCATCTAATCCATGTCCAGTTCCTGTCGCAGATGGTCCTCGCTTTATTTCAGGATTTACAGCCCGGGCTGTTTGATCTCCTACCCCCTCTCCTTGCCCCCTATGTACACCGGATTCTGCCCGCAGTGAATCCACACTTTCTGATCTGGGCGACCTCAAACTTGCAGCTCCCAGCCCAGCCCCGTCCACAGCCTCGACCTCCGACTCGCCCGCCTCCTGTTCCGTCTCCTTGCCACAACCTGGTACAGAACAAAAAGGCAGGCAAACGCGAGGATAGTGGGAGTCAGCGCTACAGCCAGCGAGGGAAGTGTGCATGTTTCAGCCAGCAAGCAGTGTATGGCTTCTTTTTCGGCGGCCAGCCAACCAGCTCACCACTCTATGTACACCCTGATTGATGACCTGATAGACCTTTACTGAGGAAACCGAATGGTGGGTCGCTGAGTTCAACATTAAAATCACATGGTTTACATGACAATAATAATATCATCTCTTGTATGTATTGCTATTCAATAGCTTTTTTCTATTTCCCTAACTGAACTTTTTATAACTTGAGTTTATGTTTACGATATTTGACTCCTTTTCACGCTCTGGTTCATTGCACAGTCCTTCCAAGTAGAACAAACAAACAACAGGTTCGACAGCATGCACTCATAAGTATCACATCATATAAGAAGTGTAACGCGCATTCTCCACGACCTGCTCCCATAGGCATACGTGAGAACAGGCATCCAAATTCAGAGATCATTGTCATAACGTGCTCCTATCGGTCAGCACAAAACATAAGACACCGTTAACTTGCCAGGCGCAGTCCCTAATGGTTTAACTGCAGCACACTCCTGACTGTTCTTTTGAGCTGCGCAGCCATGACTGCAAGAGAGTGTGATCGAAGTGGTCAGGCCCACGACTCGTGTTTAAGAGCACGTTACGACAATCATTGCTGGACTCAAAACTGTGGAAATGGAAAGCCTGGCCAGGGATGCTAGATCATGCACAATACTCACCCTCCTTTACTATTGGGAGCTCTCTCTCCACAACCTGACGTTCCCAAGATGCAATCTCCGCTGCCATGTCGCTACTCACACTTTCATTTCGTGTTCCTCCCTTTGCAGAGAGGTCATTCTTGCAGCTGTAGTCGCTGCTAAGACTCCCCTCACATCGTCGGCATATCAGCCCCCCCCTATTTCCCGCCGGTGCATCTTCCATTCCACTCGCTGGCCGTTCAGCACTCCCCTCTCGTTTTCTACTACCCTCACTGTGTGCACATGTAATGGACTGCATCAGCCGGCTGTGTCCAGCAGATTGCCGCTCCAAAACACCACCACTCTCCCGCCCTTCTGACCCAACTTGTGGACTGTCCTCCACCCCTGCAGCCACACTGCTTTCGGCAACCGTGAGGGCAGTCATCGCCTCTCCGTATGCTAGCTTGCTCTCCGTTGTTTCCGCTGAAGCAATTTGGCCCTCCCTGTCATTACCAACAGTTCGAGAACACCTCATGGCCACTTCTTCGGCTCGTGATTCCTCCTCCCCACTCCTCCACCGCCCATTTTTTGTATCTCTTTTCCCTTCCCTCAGCAGCTTCATATTGATCCGTACTTTGAACTCGCTGTGGCTCTTCGACTCGTCCCGACCCCGATCCATGAGGCATGAATCCCCTCTTACACTGTTGCGGAGATCTTCTGCAACCTTCTCCGAGGCTTCCTGTGCAGCTAACGATCCTGTTTCAGTTCTTTTCACCCTCTTTCGGCCACGACCACACCAACCCTGTTCCCCCCAACTGCTAGAGGGCTCCACATCTGCCTTTTCTGCCACTTCACTTCTTCCCTCTTTGTTCTTGCATCCCTCCTTGCCTGCTTTTCTCTCACACCTGGAAGATTCGCCATCTGCCACCACACTCACGTTGCACAATGAGCTTGGAATTGAAGTAGGCCCGTCCTCGACGATTGATTTACACTTCTCCGCCCTGCAAACCACATGACCTTGCCGCACTGCCATACCTCCCTCACCAGCTTGGAGATTATGTTCCTGCTGACCGCTGGGCTTACCTCCCTCCTCTCCACTACCATTTTCAATGTCTTTTTCGTCCACAAGAGCTGATGGCACTCCCGTACATGACGCACGGGCATTCTTCTGAGGCGCCACATGCGCTGGAGGTGATGGAGACCGCGTCACCTCCACCAGCTGAATCCTGCGCTTCTTGATAGGAACACTTGACGCAGAAGTTTCACTGAACCGATGACTGAATTTTGCAGTCTCAACCTGCAGGATGCAACATTTGCCATGTCACGCCACAGCCCTATATATAAGAATAAAATATATCTTAGAATAGAGAATGCACAAATCTTTTTTTCATCAGCTGAACCCATCCAACCAGTGTAAGTCACTGGGTGAACCACGATGCAAACCATCTGCAAAAAAGATGGGCAGAAAACTCTTTGGTTTATCCGCTCTCAGGAAGCTTTTCAAGTTCACAATCACAGATTGCAGCCACCATAACACACGAGCAGTCAACGGAGGGCTTCTTCAAGATTAATTAACAAATACGATGCGAGACCTACCCCTTCCGTTCCTGAAAAAAAAAAAGAAAAAAAAGACCGGTGTTTCCTGAATTAGCATACAGAAAGCTAGCACCAGTGTGTTCCCGAAGGTTCTCACAGGCCACCAGAGAGGCCTGTGACCATCACTGGCAGCAAACCATGGCTTCCTGGTTCCCGGTGCGAAACTTGGGGTCAACTTAGGGTGGTCACATCCAATCCCATTCCTCGTACCCACACTCTCCCCCTTCAGATACTTTGGGACTCGCCTCTCAAGCATCCAGAGCCGACAACACAACACCCTTGCAAGATCCTCTAAACAAATAGCAAGACGGACTCCCCTCCTCCCACCACAAGACCCCGCTGTATTCTATTTTGACCATGCAGTACGTTCCCACCCTGTACAGGTGACAAAACAACAACACAAAACCAAGCAGGATAATAGTTAATCGACAATGTGTACCTTCTTCTCATCGCGTGATGCATCTGCCGCGGGCCTGTGAACATCGTCCTCGGCAGACATCCTCGCAACATGGGCAGAGACTTGTCCACAACTCGATAACGATGAATCCGAGGACGGCACAGCATATGAGCAATCCCTAACCACCTCAGATGCTTTGACATCTAAATTGTATCTCCCAAAAACGGCGGATTTCCGTCCCAAAGCCCCATGTGTTCCCTCCGCAGCAGTTCCATTCGGCAGACCTGATCGTGATCTCTTTGTGACGTGATGGTGACCAAGAGAATCGCCTTCTTTGACTTTCTCGGGCCCAGTAGCACCTCTGGTGCATTGAGCACCCTTGGGGGCTTCCCTCACCATACAGGGCTGTGACTCCTTCACATGCCGGTCTGGAGAGGGGCGCCCGGCCCCGTGTCCTTCCCTCTCTACTTTAGGAGCGAGTTTCTCCTTCTGTACTACAGTCTTTGGATATTTCGCCGCGGAGGCTCCACTGACACCCACTCCTTTACCGTTGAACGCTACGCAGGAGGAGTTACAGGCAGAGGATGCCTGTTTTGCCCCATTCTTACCCCATGTTCCAGATGTCATCACAGCTGCATTGCCCGAACTAATACAGCTCAGCCACCCCTTCACACACCTCGGATGCGCGAGTGCGCAGCCTTTGGAGCAAGAGCACAGATTCACCTTCGGCACAATATCAAAGCACATGCGCAAAGCCAAAAAAAAACAGCGTCAACCCCTGTGTCAACCTGCTCCCACTGAAAGCACAAACCAGCTTGCAGAGATCCCAAACAATGGGGCATGGGCATTAACACATTTCAGCAGAAGCTTCCAGTACATGTCCCTCAAACTGCATGCACACATACTTGCAAGCCTATCTGCATGACCGATTCACTGCCACTGTCCCGGTGTGTCTGCATGTATAAACACAAGTTGGTCTGTTCACCGCTCCATGTGCATACCCCCCCCCCCCCCCGCCCTTCCTCCGTGGCGCTCACGCATGTACTAAAACATACATGTGATCTCCAGAATGGCCTCACCGCCGCTGGCCTGGCGCTTGTGGCTTCCACGTCCCAGCTCTCCCCAGCAGACAGTGAATCGCCCCACTTCCCCCCTCTTTGCCAGGTCTCTTTTGTCTGTGTTCACTCTGGCCTGCCAACCTGACCCGTTCTCTCTCAGGCAAACTTCCTCAGAGATGAGAAGCAGGCTTAACCGGTCAAATGATAGCCCCTGCTTGCTTCACTCCCTTGGATCATGGCGCCTGGTTGCAGCATCCTCTGCATGAGGCATTGCATGCTTGACATTACGTCCTAGACTTATAGGCACAACACACATTCGTCCTCCATCCCCAGTGTTCACACCATGCGTGGAGTGGGGCAACCACTGCACCAACCAGCAGCTGAATCCCTGTCCCTGCAGTGCACACGCTCTCATTTCCGCTCCCTTTCTGGCACATTTGGCACAATATCTTGAGGGTGCTCCATGTTCTTGCGCGCAGCAAGCTCTGTGGCACATGTGCAAGTACCGGATTTTCCAAACCTGTTAACATACCATTTGAGATTACGGTTCAGCATCAGCGCAATCTCTAATGCTGAGGTGCCCAGTGGAATGAATTCAAAAGGACAGTCACTGCAGAACCGAGCATTGAGCAGCACAGAATGCGTCATGGGATTGATGGAGCTCCTTTTTCTTTATTTAAGAGTCTAGCCCCTACCAGTATTGTATTCATCTGATTCTATCAGGGTTCAAACTTCTATGATCTGCTCACTAACAGTTACATACATATGTGCACCATTTGGCTACTTGTGCCGGTTAAGACTGATGGACTTGAAAACCCATCAGTGTCAAAATTACCTGGGCACCATTTGGCTACTTGTGCCGGTTAAGACTGATGGACTTGAAAACCCATCAGTGTCAAAATTACCTGGGAAGCACAAACGCGGGCAGAGGGGCACCAGGTGTGACCATCTGACTTCCCCTTCTTTCCAGGAGGTTTAATGTCTTTCATTCCTTGACGTACTAGGTAGTTCCTTCTTTATTTTCCATCCAATGGCTGTTAACATTTCCCCCCTTTTCAGCGGCTTGGGCTGGTTGAGACTGATGGACTTGCGAACCCATCAAGTGTCAAGCTGACCTGGGGAAACCCCAATGTCAGGGGTGAGCTCCCGGTGGGATCATCCGACTCCGCCTTCTCTCCAGGGGTCTTCATTTCTTCCATTCCTTGATCATCTCGTCACTGCCAACCCCATCATCACTCCCCTTTTTTTTTAATTTCTTCATCTCTCTTACCTCTCCGCTGCATGTACACTACCAGGGAACACCCACCATAACCCATGGTATAGGTTTCCGCCACAGAGCACCGATGCCGGAGCTAAGCTGCACCAGCCCCTCATCACCGGATGTGAGACTGGGCAAGCGTTTCTGGCTCAGAACCACTGGCAGTGTTAGTGCCAAGTACTGTGGGATGTCACTGCACTCCCTTTTTCCCCTCGCCCAGCCTCTGTTAGCCGACGTGTCTACCAAATGCGGCCCTGGGGGGGCAGAGGGCTATGTCTGGATGGTACGGCACCAAGCATGCCGTCTTAGGCACGTACATTAGGCCCATGGGAACTGGCCCACGACCTCTTGAACGCATGCAACTGGTATGCCTTAACAACTCAGCTAAGCCCCCGTTGGATGGTTAATGGTAACATTTACGGAAATACTAAGGGTTAAGAGTTATTACCTTCTTGAACTTTCTTCTTTATTCTGTTTTTTTTTCCGCGTTTATTGGTTAAACCACCAGCACCTCGGTTTGTCCCAATGCTTGATTTTGCCCACCCGTGCACTACCAACCCGCTGCAGGGGCCGGGCCTGGCCGTAGCATCCATATGCAACATAATTGAGCAAGACTTCTTGTTTTTTGACGATACATCCAAAAACAAAATCCAATCTCAAATTTGTCCGCCCCTGCACTACAAAAGCCGTACGTGGGGAGAAGCAATATGCATTGCAATTGCGCCAGGATTGTTTTTCTGAACAGGCAAAACCATTTTTTGAGTTTTTCCCCGTGATATCTTCCCTCAAGTCGCGGCATCTACCGAACATCCACGGGGATGCGACATAAGGGAAAACCATCTTTCAATTATGTTTTCTGAAGGCGATGAGAGCAGCAAATCGCCAAAGTGGGGACACTTGAAATTGTGTCTCCCCCTCCCCTCGGGCCGCCCGCCTCTGGAAGGCCGAACCTGACCGTGGTCCATGTTTACAGGCACGGAGCTGCGGATAGCTCTTAATACGTAACCAGAAGAAACAGTAATCATATTACACCACTCCAGCGTGGATGATCAGTTTCTTGAACTTTCTTCTTCTTCCTTGTTTATGTTTTTTTTTTTTTTTTTTCTGTTTATTTAACAGTTAAAGACTGTCATCTCTAACCAAAAGATGCAGCGATCACATCACCTCCAACTTCCTTTTCTTTCTTCTTCTTCTTTTGATATGTTTTATGTTTACAAGATGGCGGGCTACATCCCCCTCCCTCTCCCTCACCGCATTCTAACGCTTGAAGCCAACTTCACCCTTTTCGCACAGCTGCAGCTCCCACCGTCCGATCAGTTCATCTAACTATACACTAGCATACAGTCTGCAGCATGTGGGCCAGTGGTACAGAGGGATACAGACCAAAGGAACTTCTGTACTTCAAACAGGAGAAATGCAGCAATGGGATGCAAAAAAAAAAAAAAAAAAAAAAAAAAAAAAAAAAAAAAAAAAAAAAAAAAAAAAAAAAAAAAAAAAAAAAACAGTTGCAATTGCAGGAAGGTCAAAATGAACAAGTGTCAGTGGACTCTTCACAAAGCCAACTGCAGGGAGCAGGCTTGCCCTTTTGCAAAAAGGGCATAAACTAATACACCTTTACCAGCCCCCCATGTGGCTGAGTGGTACGGTGCACACATGTCACTGTTCATATATACAGCTGACGAGTTCAATGAACTTCAATCCTGATCGAACCAGATATAGATACAATAAGGCTAGTTGCTACCACCTTTTGTACAAAACGTCTGTATTTGCCTGTCCATGCACAACGTAGTGGCAGTACCCACCACGCCAAGAATCTACAGACCAACGGAACTTCTGTTTTTTCGTGAGTGATGGATTAGACACGAGAATGTGCACGTGCTGCTCACCAGTGCACAACGCTCGCCTTTCTTTTCTCATTCCTCCAGCGTCATATCTATTACCCAACACAACCACTTTTGACACTCCCTCTCAACCCCACACAAAAACACTCAGGGGCAACAGCACGAGTGGTTTTCGGAAAAGAAACTCTCAAGCAGAACGATTTCCAAAACCTGTCAACATAGGCAAAGACAAGAGTAGGAGAAGCAGCGGCAGCAGCAGCAGCAGCAGCAGCAGCAAAGGGATGACAGCACCAGTCAGGCTTGCAGGCACAGGCCAACAGGACTATCGATTTCAAAACTCGGCAGAGGCAAACGAGCTACACTAAAGCAGAATCATTGAGACTATGCTTGGAGAGGTCCCGAAGATGGCTGTGCACAAATTCCCACATTCTACGAAAAGGAAAGAGGAAAGAAGCAAGAGAGTTCCCTGCTGGGGATACCATTGTGTGCATTGGCGGCCAGTGAGCGATGCCCTAAGATGAAATGCCTTCTCCACTCTCCTCTTCTCCAGTACTCCTTTGAGCTTCATTCTGCCAACTGGCGGTGGAGGAAATCTCCTCCCCGGCCAGCTTTTCACCTTCCTTCCTTCCTTCATCAACTCACATCGTGCCCCTCCCCCGTAGACCCGCCTTCTTGCTTATCAAAGGGGGTAAAGGGGACAAATATCACCGTCTCCTCTCAATGTCTCCTCCCTCTCATCCACCACCACCAGCACCACCTTCCTTTTGTCTTCTTGCCACGTCGGCTCTGCATCAATCACAACAACAACCCCAACCCCCCCCCCTCCTCCTCCCCTCCTTTTCCTGCTCTGCATGACAAACTGCTTCATCCACCTCCACTGTCATCAGGACACCCTCCTGGCTGCACCTGGTAACTAGGCTATATTACTGCCGCTGCTATTGCCATTGCCATTGCTGCTGTGCATGCCCCCAATAGCACGGCTCGCACAAACGCTTCTGCCCCTGCTTCATTCCGCTGCTATACCGGTCTGGCCGCTACTGTATCTCCTGCAATGCCACCCCGTATTGCCACCATTACTGCTCCCATGGCTGCTCACGCTGGCTGCGCCGCTGCTTTCCCTGTACTTTGGTCCTCAAGGCACGCCACTTACCTCCTGCTCTCTGTTCCTTCAGCAGCTGCATTTCCCATCGCATCCTCTACTGTATTAGCACCTGCAGCAAGGCTTCCACCTGCTAATTACCCTATGGGAGTGTCACCACGCTGCCACTTCCAAAACAGCTGCAGAATTGCCCGCCCCTCCTGAATTGCCACCTTCTACAGTAAGACCACCTATTCTTCTGCCGCACACATGGCCACCACACCTCCTCCGACATCAGGACTCCAGAGCTCCAGCTCCTGCTGCCGCTGCACCTGCTCCGTAATCAAAGCTCCAAAGCTCCAGCTCCTGCTGCCACTGCACCTGCTCCGCAATCCATGCGCCATAACTCCGGCTTCCACTAAATCCTCACCTACTTCAAGACCGATTCTTCCGCCGCACACAACTCCTACTGTGGTGCAGGATGCAGGATATCGCACAGGTGCAGAATGCGGCACGCTGTGCCTTGTCCTGCTCCCGACCCTGCACCTCCTCCCCCTCTGCCACATTTGCTGAACCCCCCCTGCAGCAGCCCGACCTCCACCTCCCCCAATATCAATTCACATATGTTGCACACATTCCTACTGCTCCTCCTAATCCTGCACCTGCTCTGCAATCGGAACTCCCACAGAACCACCACGTGCTGCTGCTGTCGCACCGGCGCGCACAACTCCATATCATTCTGCTGCTGCACCTGCTTTCGAGCTCGCACCTCCTGCTGCGTGCCAGCTGCTTCCGTTATACCGCCTGCTTTTGCAGCACAGCCTCTAATCCGCCGGCCCCTCACCTGCTGCCGCAACAGAACACACGTTCCACCAGCTCGATATCCTCCACGTCTTCCAAGCGCTCCAGTTTTTCCCACCCACTGTACCACCTGCTGCAAATGTTCCACGTCTGCCGTGGGTTGTACCTGTTCCCGCTATCCCATCTGTTTGTCCTACAAAACGGTTTATTCCACCAACTGTTCCTCTTGCTCCACCTGTTTCACCTGTTCCATCTCTGCACCAGTTCGACTTGCTGCACCGGTTCTCAGTAGTCCCCCTAACCACCTGTTCCATCTCCAGCATCTGTTCCGCCGGTTCAACCAATTCCACCTACCCCCACACCCGTTTCATCATTTCACACCCGTTTCAGCATTTCGACCTGTTCCACCTCCTGCAGCTTCCTCCACCTCCTGATCCTCCCTTCAAGCCCCCAACTATCGCACCAGNCCTCCTGATCCTCCCTTCAAGCCCCCAACTATCGCACCAGTTCTCATTAGCGCCCCCCCCCCCCTTTCTCCTTCTGTTTCACCCCAAGCATTTGCTCCTCCCGTTCGCCCATTTCCACCTACCACACCTGTTTCCCATTTTCCACCTGCTCCACCTTCTCCGCCTGTTCCACCTCCTGCAACCTTGTCCACCTCTGATCCCTTATCCTCCCGGACAACCCTCAACCATCCCACCAGTTCCCAATATTGTCCACCAGTTACACCTGTTCCGTTTTTTCCACATTTACCATCTGCTTCCACGTCCACTTCCTGCACCTGTTCCACCCACCCGTCGAGCCTGTTCTTACATGCAACAAACAAAACCTGTACTCAGGCAGCTGATCCTCCACGGCTAATGCCACCCGCACCTGTTCCCAACACCCCCCCTTCCTGGCACCATACTCCCACTCCTCCGCTGCTGCACAACCAAGACTTCAGACCAACCTTCCTCCGATTCATGCCTTACCTGTCCGACAACCATGCTCCTGTCCATCCTTCTCGCCATCCCCGTCCTCCTCTTTCCAACCCGCTTCCTCCTCCCTCATTCACCTGCCATGTCCAACCTCTTCTTCCTGCTGCCCTGTAACCTGTCTCATATAAAGGGCCTCTTTTACAATATGTAAGCACATCAGCGGCGCCCTCCGTTTCTACCTTCCTTTGCAGCTTCCGAAAAGAGTACAGTACGATCTCCCTGATTTTAGACCTGGGAATTTCCGACAGTCCACCCAGGCCACGTTCTTCCCTTTCCCATGGCAACTTTTCCAAAGTCTCAAGTTCCAAATGGCAGTCGACCATGTTTTATCACCGAGGGTTCCCGTAGGTAGGTACTCCGTGTATCCAGGCGCACCCCGGATGGCAACACAGAGCGCATGCCGGCGTATTTTTTTGCAAGACCTTATATCAAAAAAATCAGTTTTGCTGCAAATGATCCTTTCAGGAACCATGAACCCGCCTCGCTTCCCCAACCTCCTTTCTCCGCCAGTTGAGATCGAAGAAGCAAGCAACCCATCATCAAAAAACACTAAAGCGTTCTGAAATACCCCCTCGTCAATCACACGTTCATCCTCGAGAGAGAGAGGTAGTTCTCCTCTTTCACCATCGTGGATCACCAACGATGTGTTTCCTTTTTTGCTTTACTAGCATCTCCAATATTACACTGTATGGAAATCACGACCATGATCGCTTGTCTGCTCCTCTTCTGCGGTGAGGCTCACAGGAGCCGTCGTTCTGGGTCACACACGCCGCAGCTGCATCGTACATTCTCAAACAACGGGAAAATGGCGCTTATAAACCTTTAAAATCCCCCATACAACTCTTCCCTGTCAATTACTTGCCTTGACTTCAGTCACAACAACTCATACTTCCGCGAGCTTCGGAGGAACTCAGTTTCCTTGCCCCCCCCTCCNGTCAAGAAAGACTCTAATTGGGAGGCGACGTCCGATCTATCTCCCGTAGTCGTAGGATATGGCATTTGGCTTGGCTCCTCGACACGCAAAAGAGACTATTGGGCGCATTTAGTGACGCATGCAGTACCTGCCTGCATGCATCCAAGCATCTCCACAGCATCATCCTCCTCATCATCATCATCACCATCAAATGTCACAAATTGACACGTTTGGCCTCCTCCTGCAATGGCACTCGTTCCCAAACCTCTTCTTACCTGATTCAAAAACTTAGCACACAACAACAATTGCGACATTGGAGGACGTGTCGGCAGCACGTCTTTTCACACACAACCAGGGAGGCACTTCGTTGGATTTTTATGAGCAAGCGAGTGAGTTCCCTGACGTATTCACCGCGACGCAACTTTCAGAAATCCCTCGACTAAATCAGCCTTCTGCGCCGAACTCTCTCTAGAACGCTTCCATCCACGGAACCCGCAAACTACCAAGTTCCATGGAGAAAGCCACCACCGCTCTCTTCAGTCAACAACACCCTGCAAGAAAACGACCGTGGCCTTCACCACAAGTTCCTGCCCTCCCGTGTCACAACTCCATCCGCATATGTATTGCGTTCCACGAAGAAATCGGACCAACATCCCACGTCATGTAGAAGCCGTCGGCTCCAAACAAGGAGTGGTTGGTTGATGGAAGGGCCTGTCCGCAAGCGGCTCCTGACCGCGTGTCCCTCCCTCTCTAGAGAGTACCATATATACCCTGGATGACTGGAAGGGGCAGGAAATCGGTCGGAAACGATGTGGCCAACCACCGCTACTCCTGCTGCGTCTACGGGCGCTGCTACATCCCAACCTGTCCTCGCTCATTCCGTCGTTACCCCACTATAAAGTTGATAATCACAAGCTTCGCATCCAAGACAAGACACAGCATGAGCAACGCTGCTTTTGCGGCTGCTGCGGCTGCTGCGGCTGCTACTCCTGCTTTTGACTTCCAGACTTTGCCACTGTGGTGTGCGATCGATCCGGCGGCTGCGTTTGCCACCGCCTAAGTCGAGTCGCTACCTCTCTGCTTTCCCTTCGCCTGCAGGTTCGCTCGTTGCCCCTCATCTCGAACGTTTCACCGTACGTATCCCCGCGCAGTGGTTGTGGTCGTTAATGCTGCTGGCTGCTTCTCCACGCGCAGACCACATAATGTTACGACCGAGGTACCTTTTGCCGATGAAACCCGAGTGTTTGCCTTTGCTCCTGCCCGTCTGTTGCTGCCTGTTGTAATCATCGAAAATGGTGCCGATCCTGCCTTTTTTTTAATGCCCTGCTGCTTTCCAATTTGCCGCCACCAGTGCTGATGATGATGATGATGATGATGATGATGCCGCTGCTGCTGCTGCTGTGTGCTGCCAAATTTGCCTGCGGCACTGCCATCATCTGTAGCTGTTGCTGCACTGCCCTGCAATTTGGGGTTTATACCAGAGTGGCTGCCGTGGCTGCCGCCGCTTCCCCCAGCGGCCTGGTTTGCTGTTAGCACAGCACTTCGCTTTGCTGGCAAACATAAGGCAAGGGAGTTTATTGACAGGTCACACCCGATATGCACGACGACAACCAGACAACTGAGTCGTTGTTGAGCCAAGAGAGCCATCCAAAAGGAGGTGCCTGCAATCAATCATTCATACACAACGAATGCCATACTTGCACTAGGCGGACTTTCCAGGATGTTTCTGACCGTGATTACCGCCGATTTCAGTCGACACAGTTCCGGTATGGGTAGTCCGAAAGACTTCATCTTGCACTAGCCCGTGCGGCCCGCTCGGCCCAACCGCTCTCCTCTCCTTCTTCCCAACATGGCACTGCCATCGTGACCCCGTGTGACCCTACCCACTCCAGTCCGCCAAACAAACGTGGAAAGATGACACGCAACCAACCAACGCTTCTCTAGATATATATATCGTCAGACAGAGCTGCCCAGCCTACGGCGCAACAAACAGATACCGACATAGCCACATACATATGAGGGGATGCGACAAAAAGGAAAGGGGCCTAGATGGATAGACTTTCTTTTAATGGACTCGCACTTCCTATCAGATGGACGGAGAGTTTGAACAACAAAAAACAGATGGATGGGGACAGGCTTACGTAAGATATCATCACCGCATCCATACATACACACACATAAATATCAAGCCTCCTGATGAGTAAGTGAAAGCCCGACGAGACAGTCTGGCACATTCATGACTTTTTCGTGTGGAGTTGTGTACAGCGAACATAGCAACACACTCATCTGTGGGGACCCAATGCAAACCCAACGATGACGCTGTGACAGGCTGTTTCGTCGGACTTTCACCGACTCATCAGGAGGATATAACCTCGACAGACTGGACAGCAGGAACGTACACAGCTTGTCTTATTCCACAGCAGGGCTAGCGCTACTACCCAACGCACGCAGGTTTTCTCCACCATCACGCCCCCACAACCCCCCCCCGCTACTTACAGGCGTACCAGACTGACGTGAGAACCGATCGCCTTACTGACACACCTTCGTCTGCAATCCTTGCAGACGGGTTTGGTCCTCCGACCTCATCCCGTGGGCCCGGACTAACGAATAACCGTGCCAGAAAGGAAAACCAACACCCCGCAACGACACAAACATCGTCAGCGGCAAAGCCATCACTCCCCAAACACCATCATCACCCCCGCTTGCACCGCCTCGCCCCCCTCTCGGCCGCCGTTTTCAATCCCGTTTTGCCACCAACGCTAGCAATTCGATTCGTCCACAAAGGATGCGCAGGATTCATAAAAAAGCAGGCGAACCTCGATGGCTCAGAAAGCAAAAGCACAGAAAGACAGCACCCAAAACACGGCCACCATCTCCAAAAAATTCAGATATAGCAACACACACACACACACGCAGGCGGGAAGCAAAACAAAGGCCGTCAGGCAGCAGAAAGTCGGGGAAAACGAATCGAAACCAAAGAAAAGGCACCAATGCTGGACACGCTCTGCTAAGGAAAGGAGTGCGTGAAACTTCCCCTCCCACAATACACCTCGGGGGGGGGGGGGGGGGAGGAAGCCACGCGCAATCGCGAGTGCTGGAAGCTTGACTAAGAAGAGAAAAACGCCCGAAGCGACACCGCACATGTGCAAACGGTTGCCAAAAAACGTTTTGGTATCTAGCGGTAAATATCTCTCAACCCCCCAAACCCGAAAACGCGGTCAAATACGTCGGCGATATGCCTTAGTGATACGTAAATGCGATAAAAGGTTTTCCGGCAGAGATACCGAGGTGGCTTTACCCCATTTATCGCCAACGTATGTAACCGCGTTTACGACCATGTTCAGTCACCAAAAGAAATGGTCCACCGTGCGAGTGTCCTCGATGTCGATGACGATAACGTACAATCAGAAGTGCGCAGGAAAGGTGGGTAATAAGTACTTGTACTTCGACTTCGCATTTCCGAGCTTCCTTTATTACGCGTACTTTACAACGCCTATGTAGGAGAGTTTCATTTGATATACTACGTATAGCTCGGGCGACAACAGTCAGTCTCTCCTCGGCGTAACCATCCTTTCGTCATTTTGCCTGCCCGCCCACCCTGAGTCGCATCAACCTCCTCCTTCCCATGCTATTACTGTCTGCTCTATATCTATAAATTCCCGAAACGGCCCAACCAACCTTTGGCACTCCTTGGGCTCACATCCAGCGCCAATACTGATCCGTATCTAGACGTGGTTTGAACCACTGTTTGGATGCGCAACAGCCCATGGATCGTACCGTTACGACCAGCCCGCTTCGCTAGTACATCTGCTGAACGGCTACTTCCGGAAGTCCGAAAAGTGCGGGACCCTCGGGGACAGCCGCAACCATCGCGACGCAACAGGGAGAGCGCGTCTGCGAGAAGACACGGGGGGACAGGGCATCTGGGAAACATGGGCGAAGTCGCAGTACAAAGACACGAGTGACACCCTCCCTCTTCCCGTGATGCCCGCCCCGCAAGCCCCGCCAGTCAAGAGCGCATCGGCGTGGGTGTGAAGCCGTAGTGGCCTGTCATGTGCGGCCGCAGCAATAACCCTTTCCCCGCGTGCAAAGGCACACTGCTAAACAGGGAGGAGAAGCAGTCGCAAACAAATAGCGCAGGCGCAGTGAAGCGGATAAGAGAACAGACGGTGGGAAAGGGCAAACGAGGAAAAGCACAGCAGGTGACAACGAAGCAGAGGAAAGGAGAGTCAGAGAGAATTGGGTGGGGGAGGGGGGAAGAGGCTTCATTCGTCTTCGGCGAAAAAAGCGGCAGGGACGGACGGACAAAAGAAGGGCCACCTTCACATCCGCGACAGATATGCGGAAAAAAAATCCGTTGCCCGCACGCTTCCTCGGAGTTACCATGAGTTCAAATACTGTAGTACTTCGCACTTACCATGAGTTCAAACTCTTGATTATCTTCGCATCCAAAGACGCAAAAAGCGTGCGGGTTGACCGCATCTTGCTCGATGCTGTGTCCGTCATTCACCCGGCCATTGCACACAGCGAGCTCCTCCTGGGTCCATGCCACGTTTCCCCCACCCTGAGCGCACACACACACACACAGACACAGACACAGAGGAGCGCGGGCGCGCGCGGCAGGAGGTTACTCAGGGCAAGGACGGTGGTGATCTGCTCGGCCAAAGGTAGCACTCAGCCACTGAAACACCGCCGATTGCCACCTGTCGGCCCCCAACAACCTTTTCACCGAACGAAACGACACCTTTCACATGTGGCATCGTCCGCACCTTTTGCCAGTTATCTTCGTACCTTGTTTTCTTATCCTCTCTCCCACTTCCAATTTCATCATCCCTTCACATGCCAGCGTCAGTCAGCTGGAGCACAGCACGTTTACTTTCCTGGGGGTGGGTTGGTTGATTGTTTACATGATGAAGTAGAGGCTCTGGTAATGACACCCTCTTTCTCGAACCCTGAATTTTCCCGCCCAAGAAAACCGGGTTTTCCCCCAGCGCTTGGGCAGGAAGCAACACCTTTTCTTCACAAGAAGAGCCATCGCTAAACCGTAGACGTCATCTCCTTGCAAGAGAGAGAAGTACCAAAGGAGGGATGTCCTCTGTGTATTTCACGCGTCAAGGAGGACGCAAAGGTCGAGGAGGAAAAGCAGAGGGAGGAGGAGACATACATGCTGATGACCCTAGCACGCCTCACCCCGCCTTCCCCAAGAAATCTTCAAAATTTGTTAACAGACACGTTCATCACCCCTTACTTCTCAGCAAGTCACACACGGTCAACAGACACGCCTTCATCACCCTTGCTTCTCGTCGAGGAAACCACGACAACATCTGTGACCTTCAAGGTGTCACGTGACACACGTTTCCCATCAACGGCTGTCCTGATTCTTCCTCAGTGACACATCCGCTGCAAGGATACTCAGTCACCCATCGGGTCCCCACTCCCTCCTCGTTGCGCCAACGAGATCACCCTTTCCAGCAAACTCATAGACCTCTCTCTCTCTCTCTCTCTCTCTCTCTCTCTCTCTCTCTCTCTCTCTCTCTCTCTCTCTCTCTCTCTCTCTCTCTCTTTTCCCCCGCCCCCTGCCCGCCTGCGAGCGCGCACGCGCCGGTGCGTGTGTGTGCGCCTGGAGAGGGTCAGTCAAACTCTGCTAGGGAAAACGAACGCCGTTAGGCTGCTCCAGACCGGCGTCCCATCCCCGTTCAAACCCGCTTCCGGTTGATCGTTAACAGCTATATACCGTTCGTGTTTTCGTCGTCCTCAAAATGACGTCACTTCACCAATCAAGCCCTGTCCCGCGCACCGTATATTAGCCCTCTTTCCCGCCAGCCACTCTCCCGTCCCCCCCCTTGTCACGCAAAGACTCATCCGTACAGGCAGGCAGCAGGTGCACCGTCCTCTCGGGCGGTCGCTCGTTCGTTTGCGCTCTGGCTCGCGCACGCGTTCGCGTGAAGTGCGAGGCCCTCGCGCGAGTCATCCGCACTCGAGTTAGGGAAAATATACACACATGTATATGGTGGTGTTTGTAGCTCTCTCTCTATCATACCTGTGCCCTCATCCACTGTCCTGGGTACATTCCAAACCCGCTCGTCGCAGCCCGTTCTCGTTCGTCTTTTCTCCTTTAATCTGGCGTCGTTTCATTGTCGGCGCATATCCCCCATCGCCGCTGCGCCTCATTTCTCCCCACGCCCTATCACCCACCCTTCGCCATCATCACCACCTCCATCTTCCCTCCCGTTTCTTTCGCTCCTCGCCTACCGGTAGTCCCCAACCGCCTACCCACCCTCGCCACACCCTTTTTCCTTCCCCTACCACGTGGCACGCTGTGCGCGAAATACTGCAGACATCATCGTCACGAGCCTGTCCCTGAAACCTGCCCAAAGGGAACGAACTTTCCAGGGTGCACACGGCACGGCACTGTACAGCGCAGCCGTTATACTAGAACCGCATCACGATCCACCCCAAGAACGAAGCCAGCTCCAGCCCTCAACACTTTCCCCGATAAAAGCCCTGATCAGCCATCTCGACCGCAGGCTGAGCGCTCCGGCAGACAGCCAAGGGACATCCACCCTCCACAAATGAGTTTGACATGTGCTTCAAACCGCGTGATTCCGATGTCATAGGCTTAAACCTTCAAGCCTCATCATCTTTGGCCTCCGCAGACGCATACTTCAATAATAACCTACCGTATCCACGCCATGGAGCCCACGCAAGTCTTACACCCTTCGGGGTTGGTCAGCTAAGGCCCATCATTACGGCCTGTGAAGGGTCATTGAAGTCATAGATTATTCCACAAGTTGGTCAGTTGGTCGGCTCGGCGAATCCAACCCCCGATCTCCACATCAGCAAGCTGCTGCCGCATACACCGCGGCCGAAAACGATCTGTGACGAACGAAACTACAACCACCATAATTTCCTCCTTCCCCACCAATCAGACTGGACAATGGGAATGCCTTCTTCATCGTCTCATCGACCCTGGTACGGGTTCTACCGCGTATCCAACACGGTACACTCACTGTTAGCTTTTTCCATGAATTAACAGGGAAGCGGGGCCCAGAAGATCCATCACATAGGCCCTCTCGAGGCTCGGACAAGAGATGATCGGTCACGGCTGTCAGTCAGCGGCAGCCCCGAACCTCTGCTCCCGAACGGGCCCGCGGCCGGCTTGGAGCGGGAGGTAAATCGTTTGGCCGCGAGGCCTCGACGAATGTGCACATAGGGGTAAGGGGGTCGGATATGCAGAAGGGTGGCCCTCAATTTCGCCCCCTCCTTTTTTCAGTTTCAGAAGAAGTCTCTTTTTCACGGTCACGGAAGATGGTCCAGAACAACACCGACCAGTCTACACGGGAAGGGTGAGGCTCGTCCGGACCGGTCGCCAGCGAAGTGGGGGACCTGCGCCACCGTTACCCATCTCCCTGTTCATCATGACGCCAATGCTGATACAGCAGCACCTAATGCAAGTGTGTTCGCAGGCTGTCAGGGTTGCGTTTTATTCCCTTGAGACCCTCAACGTCCCTTGAGACCCTCAACGTCAATTCAACTTTCAACGTCGGTGGTCGTTCGAGAGGGTGGGCAATTTTGAGTTGAGGGCTTAGTAAGGGGCAGGGCATGCGAAGGACCGGTAGCTGCCCATAGGAGGCCGAGGCGGCAGCGGTCCTTGAGTTCACAGCCCTTCAGGGTTGCGTTTTTCCCCTCTGAGACATTTCAACGTCGGTGGTCGTTCGGGAGGGTGGGCATTTTGAGGTTTCGGGGCTTAGCAAGGGGCGGGGCATGCGAAGGACCAGTAGCTGCCCCTATGAGGCCGAAGAGGCCGCTCCTTGAGTTTTCAGCATTCCGAAATCGATACAGTGTGGGTCCATTGTCTACCGCGTGGGCGCGGGGAACGCAGCCCTAAGGTAGCCAAATCAATGAGCCTAAGAGCTAACACAAGAGAGAGAGAGGGGGGGGGGGAGAGAGAGAGAGAGAGAGAGAGAGAAAGAGAGAGAGAGA